AACGCATTTTTCAATGTTATGTTTGCCCTTCGGTATGTTTTGGGTTAGAATTTGTTGCCTCAGCTTTTTTATTTCGGAAGTTCCAAACCCGATTCAATCGATTGGGTCGGCGATTGCTGTGTTGGCCCCAAAATAGCCCTGCCGTTGCCGTCCATGGGCAACTAGGATGGCAAGACGTTGGCGCAATTCGCTTGACCCAAGCTGCCAGTCTGTGGGCGCGACTCTTGACCCTACCCTCCAGCTGCTGTGCCAGCCGCATAGTGTACTATGCCGGTTTGCAAGAGCATTCATGGGCTCACTCTATCCAAGCCCAGCGGTGTTCAGAGTTAGGCGTGGCCCCTCCGTCGTCCTAGGTCCCAACACTTCTCGGCAAAGCTTACGTCATTGGTTGTTGCACGCCAAGTGCAACATCAGCACGAGTTCCGATATGCGGTACTGCATCGAAGCACAGTGCATCGTTTCTCTGGCACAATAATCCCGGTGGCAGCGACAGCCGCATTTGCACCCCGTTGTTTACGGTCAGCAAACATGCCCATTTCATGCTCATTACTGGGGCCTAGCACGATGTGGGCGTCATCCTTTCTCGGACGGACGTTCTGCCCGTCACCGCAATGCAACTTCCCTGCCACCATGCCGCTTTTGTGCCAGTGGCAGCGATTCACTTGAACACGCCTTGTTGTATTGCACAGCACATCACATGCTTGTCAACGCTGGTTGCGCAGTGGCACATGCCCGCTATCAATGCAGCAGTTGTTTAACACAAACGCGTACGTTAACATTGCTCGTGGCATTGCCCGCAACATCTCGTATGTTGCACACATTTGCCAAGCCGCTGAGGAGCGCGAAATATGAGCATTTCCTGAGAGCATCGGCATGATGTAGTTGTACATGCTTGTTGAAGCGTGTCGCCCTTTTACTTGTGTGTTTTATATGTTTTGTCATGCTTATCCATGGTCGTTTCAGGACTCGACTCTCTGAAGGTTTTGCTTTACGCCGACGATGTAGTAATTTCATTGAAACCGCATTGAATTTGCAAAGGGCACTTGATGCAGCCCATGCATGGGCAAAGTTATGGCGCTTTCTTTTTGGAATTAGCCCGACAAAATTTGCAGTCATGGTGTTTGCCAATATCCGTGGCCTATTGCATCTGCCGCTTTTCTTCTTTGCCGGCCATGTTTTGCCTCGTGTGAGAACATAGTGTTAATTGGGGATTGTTTTTCATGAAAAAACAAGAATTTTTTTGGGACATCGCATGTAGATCAGTTGTTGAGACGGGCTGAAGCAAAGATGGCGGCATGTTTGTCATGGACCAACACTGAAGACTTGCCTCTCTCATTTGTTGAGCGCATTTTCCCGACGTCGGAGTCCTTCTTGCGGGAAGGGGCATCCCCTCCGCCAAGTGAGGGAGAAGGCGCCGAGGACACCAGCCGACGGGGTAACAGAAGCTGGCCGGAACCGCTGTGGAGAATGCATCGCGGGTGCTGCTGCTGTCCCAACGTGGCGAAGGAGCTAGCTGCGTCCTGACCACAATCCCCTCGTGTCCGGAATTTGATGTCCCTGACGATGAATACCGGGTGGTCCCTTTACGGAAGCTCCGATTGCCACTGCCCCTCGCCCCTCGGCGCTGTCACTGCGGCGGGCGTCTGGACGCTTTAGGCGGCCACCGCCAGGCCTGCGCACAAGTATCACAAGTAGGTGTCCTGGCACACAGAGCGGGGCCGCTAGAGCCAAGCGGGGGCGCGGGTGGCAACTCAAGTCGCGCTGCGCGATCTTAACTGAGATGCCCCCACGACCGATGGGCGGCGGATCGAGGTCGTCGCCAACGGCCTGCACGTCTGGCGAAGGGCCCAGGTCGCGGTTGACGCGACGCTCGTCAGCCCTTTGCAAAGGGATTCCATGTCTGTAAGTGTGTATGTGGCATGGGTGGCCGCTGAAAAAAAGGGGGAGAAACGTGGAAATTTTGGAGCGGCCGTAGTGGTGGTGTACATACTTGAGATTGTGAATTTGCGTTTAATGTTGCGATTCCCCACTTTTGGTTTTGCATTGTTGCTGTTTTTTGACCCCATGTTTCCAAAATCGCGTTTCACGCTGACGGGCCTGTCTCTCTGTGGCTGCCCCGTGCGTGCAAGTTGCGAAACCAAAGTGGCGTCGCAGCAAAGCTCGCCCCCGTAGGTTGGTGGGCAGCTTGGGAGGTTCTGGCAGTACTGGGGAGTATCGTCAGCAGAGCTCCTTCCTCCATTTTGATGCGTTGCTTGGCCAACTAGCCCGCAAACGAGGCATGCTTGATCCTTGCATTGTCTCTGTGGTCTTTCTCGCGCTTATTATATGCGGTCCCTACACTTTGTGCAGTGGGGTTCCCTGCACGGGGGGTAGTGCCTACTAATGCATCCGTCAATTCCTGGTCGACAGCTTATGGACAAGAAAAAGTTCTTGGCAGCAAGTCGATCGATGGGCTCGAAGACATCGAAGCAGGGCAGGGTACGCATGGGTGGCAATTTAGGCATGAAGAAATCGGGTACACTGTTGGTCTCCATCAGCCCCCTGGCCACGTTGGTGACCAAACTTGCATATCCTGCGCTGAGCGTACGATCACCTGAGGTCCCTTCCTCAGTCGGTTTCCACATCTGTCCCGCCGCCCTTTTGCCTTTAGCCTTGCCTTGAGGGGCGTGGTGAAGGCCAGTGGAGCAGGTTGCATTCGCAGCGCTCTGCGGTGTCTCAGTTGGCCTGCCACTGAGCTCCACATTTTCTTTGCTTGGGAAGAGCTGGTAAATCGCATGGACCCGTCTACTGGAAATCGCAAAAACTTGTTTGCTCAAACGCTGGAGATTCCAGGGAGGTAACGAAATGCAAACGTTGCAATTCGTTGCACGTGTGGCGGGATCAGCATGACAGCGTGCCCAATCACCCAGTCAGCTCTACTTTCGGTGCATTGCCCGCACGTAACGCAGGCTTGCTGGGAAAAATCACGTGAAGAAGGCGTACATGTGAAGCTGTCGGCCTGGACGGACACGTGGTTCGGCAGCGACCTAGTGTTGAGCTGCCGGACAAAAACTGACCCGATATTGTGATATACGGTGCCACGCCCTTGGGCGGTGCCCCTTGCTGTGGCAGCCTCGCGCAGCTGCGGCGCATTTGTTTTTGTTGCAGGCACGCAATGTGCTTGAAAGTCCTTCGACCCATTCGTGTGAGTGAGCGTGTGCGCAAGGACGATTGTGATCATCCTGCATAGGAAGGCCACAGGTTGGACATGTTGGACAGGTACGCCAACACATTGGCACACGTAGATAACAAGTTTGCGGCTGTCAGGAAAATGAGCATGTTCTTCGCACGGCTCAGAAGGTAGTTTTTTGGACAACGCACCATGCCGAACACAGTTATGTCAGCAGAAGTTCATTACGGAGCATGGCAAACGGAGCGTGGCAAACCTTCCCGAGGTAACATCTCGAAAAGGCTTACAAGAATATCTAACAAATCTAATAAGTGGCAATTGGTCGCAATGGCCACTGCGCAGAAACCGTGGAATGATGCACGTCGACATGCTTCTCACCGAGTCATTGCTCCATGGTGGGATGCCAGCACTTCCGGCGCGCTAATCATGAAGGAGCGTGATGAAGCTGGGCAAGCTGAACATTTGCCGATGTATTTTGGCTGGCCGACTGCGGGCCCGTCAGATGACAAACTGCTGCTGAAGATGCGTACTACGCGGTATAATGGTCATGTTGATTGGGCATGCTGGACACGTGAAATGAAAAAGGAAACTCGCAAGGTGATATCCCTCACCTCGTTTACAAAAGTCGCCGCGTCTGAATGGTGCAAAAATTATGGCTACATTGGGACTGATGGTCAAATCCATTGGCCCACAGCGCAACCGAGCCATGCACGTGTGGTAGGCATGGCATGGAATGAGGTGTCAGCAAAGCCGGCCCGAGTTTCCCACATAGCTTCTTCGGAGCCACAGAAGCCTGGGATTCAGCCGGAAATGTTGGCCAGTGCAAGGTCACCAGAAGATCGGTTCGTTTCACCAAACAATCCACGTTCACTGACAAAAAGCCTCACAGAGAAACTCAAAGAAGGAGAAGACCTGTGGGCCATGTTGCGCTGCGCATATTTAGCAGGAGCTGACAACGGCGAGCCTGCTGCCAAGGTAGCAGAAGGTGCTGAATTGGATGAAACTGAGCCGGCAACGTTTGACGATCTGAATGTGGCTGCCCAAACAGTTCAAGACAGACTCCAGCGCTTGCTGCGAAAGACAGCGGAAGCTTCAAAAGCCCTGAGCCGCAACAGCTTCTGTGCCACAGAAGGGCGCACAGGCGAGGCCAGTGAGCTAAGCTGATGCTTTTGTTTTGAGCAAAGAGGTTGAGCCGAGTCTCATGCATTAATTTGTGTTAATGACCAACGTTGAAGACGCATGTCTTTTCGCCGCAAAATGGACGTGCAGGATGGCAAGTATGTCGGAGTGCAAAGAGTAATCCTGAGAGTTCAAGTTGCTTCAGGTCATGGTATTAGTGGTGACGGAAACCAAATTTTACAAATCGTGTGCGTTTCATCGCAGATTGCACAGTAGCGCTGAGTCGCATGAGTCGTTGCTTTTATGGTTGGCTGCAATTGCTTCGGGAGGCAGTGGGTGGTCGTGTACATGCACCTAGGGCCCAAGGCCTTGTTGAGCGTTGTTCTGGTTGCCCCGCAGTTCAGGCTGTTGGCAGTGGTGTTTCGCCTTTTCCCTTCGCTGGTCTTGTTGATTGTGCTAGGAGCCTTGCAGATACAGCTCGGCAACCCAGTAAGATAGAATTAGCTGAACAGTTAGTCCTTGTTTCTTTTGCAATATCTCCGTAAGCTAGTCTCCCTCATTTTTGGAGTGAGTGTTCACCAGCTTTGTTGAATGTTTCACATTGGTGGCGCCATGACGCAGTCTCCCCGGGTATCCAACATACTGACTGGTAATCGATGTAATCGTAGCTAGAGCAGCTAGAGTAAGGAACATGATTTGGTGATGCTATGCCATGCTAAAGCTATGGTTGCGCGCCTTCGGCCAAGGCGCTGCTTTGGTTGGAGTTTTGGGCGCTGCTTTTTTCACGTACAAACAAATTGTAAGTCCAAGACGCCCGCGCACTCCGGCAAAACGTGTCGTCCACATTTTCTATGACAAAGAAATTGAAGAAGCAGTTGCCCCTCACGCAGCACGGGAAACATTGTCAGCGTGGAAGTACAATTGGCGGCTAGCTGGATGGCATCCACGCATTCTAACAACTTTCGATTCTCAACATTCATCACTGCATGATGACCTTGTGCATGCTTTGTCGTTGGCGCGCTACAAGCATGCAAGCGAAAAAGAGACGTCATGTCTTATGCGCTATGTAGCGATGGCAGCTGTTGGAGGGGGCTGGCTGTCTGATATTGATACGGTTCCGACAAATCTGCAGCCTGGCCGAGACCTACCAAACAACGGCAACTTCACGGTCTTTGAGAATGAGTTTGCATCCATGATGTCCGGTACCAGGGTCGAGTTTGAAAGAGTGTTGAGGGTTTTGCTTCGGAGGCTGAGGAAGGGCAAAGTTTCCACCGGGGTCCCTGGTGTGTGCTCTGACAAGCACACACTGAGAACCATGGTGGCGGAAGGCCAAATTCTGTCAATGCGACTGGTCATCCCTGCCGACTTTTGGTCAGATACCGCAACCTGCGCAAACATGACGAATAACCGCAGCTTTGCTATTCAGTTCTCACAGGCTTCCATCGAGAATCTTGGATACCTCGTCGATGGTCGTGGTGCTTTGATGAATCGTACGATGGATCGTTGGCGGGCATGCCGCAACAAAAACACATTGGTTGTTTGAACCCTTGCTGAATGTTAGGCAAGTTGCTCCGCAAAATCCAGGTTTAGGTGTCGTGGCTGCTTGCCTGCACTGCATAGATGCAGCATTCTTTTGACCTGGCTGCTTTTAAGTTTCACCACTACTCACATTTGCGTAGTCTTGGTACGCTGAAGCAAAACATTGCAGAAGCAGCAAGCTGAGACATGCTTGCTGATGCGTCAGAGCTTCGGTTGGCGGCTTCTTGCTGCGATTTTGAATTCCGGGTTGGTGCAGCGCTCTTTGGTTCAACAGATGCCAAGCCATACAGCGCCGCTGACAAGGGATGCTGTAGAATGGACAAATGAAAGGACATCTGATGCACGCCTAATCAAATTCATGGGTGCAAACTCTGCGCTGCTTGGCCGAGGATTCGCACAGAGCTCTTCGCAAAGCAGCAGCATGCTTAGTGTCCATCATGTGTTCGAGGGGTCATGCAGAGTGCACATGATTAATGCGGCGTCCTCAATAGGCATTCGGCAGCGCCGTGGTGATTCAGATGCGTCCTTGTATGAGCGCGAATCCAGCGCTTGCCTTGTTTTGCAACATCATGATGCCCAATTGCTTGCAAAAGTGTCTGCAGAAAGGTGCCAGCTATGCCACTCGACAAAGTAGCAGACGTCATTCCGGCGGCAGGAAAGATGCTTTCAGTGGATGTTCATTTGATGCAATGGAGTAGGTCGCTACGCCAAAGCTTGCAGCACTGGACAGGCGTTCCATCGGCAACTTATTCCCACTCACAGGCCTGAACTTAGGCCGCACCGAGCCAGATGAACGGCTGCGTAATGCTGTCTTGCTAGGTGCAGGCAATGCCAAGCACATGCTGCACATTGCCTCGCGCATTTCGAAGGATGTGAATCTATTGCACCCATGGCTTGTTTGTTCACGCAGGCTTCTTTGGGCTGTCATGGCATGCTATTTTCGATGGCAGAGTGCTCATGCGATTCATGCGATGTCAAGGTATGCAACCAAAGCAGCACCTTGGCCATGCCAAGCTTTGGATCTTTCCATCAGACAAGTAGCACGACTTTTGCCAAGGAGCTTGAGCAAGCAGCAGAGGCAGCTAGGGAACAACAGCCTTGGCCTGACAGTCTCAAGAAAAACCAGTGGACAGGAAAGTCCGAGTCAGTGAGATTGTGAGACTGAGGGCGGAGGAAAATGCTGCGGCTTTCACGGCAAGCCTGATACACGAGCCAGTCGAAGAGGCAGGTCTGCTTCAGGTTGATTTGGGCCCTTAGGAGCATATTGCCGTATTGCAAAACTAAGGAAGGCTCGGAGAAGGACAGGCCTCTGTTCACCTAACATAGCAGACTGTTTCACACCTTTCATTGGTGCGCAGGAATACAGCACAGGTAGCAGCACCAACAGTTCGGCCCAAGAAGATGAAGATAATGTACTGGAACTTGATCCATGTCTCCATACTTCGCAGTCATTGACTTGTTGTCAGTATGTTCATCTGAGGATAGCGACCTCGAAGATTATGACCACGAAGCTGCTGGAGAACGCATTGGCTCCATGCTGGAGAACCTGAAGCAACGGTCCCAGCTTGCGCTGCCTTTCCTCATACAGACTTGTGCAAGACGTTTGTGCTGAGGTGTCAGGACCGCACTGATATCATGGCAACTCCTCCGCATTTGAATGATTTATTTTTCAAGCCAAGGTGGATGTTGCTCAGTCTTCGCGATCCTAAGGACTCTTTGCATTCATTTTATCAGATCCGCAGGGAAGCGGTGGAGAGCGAGATTGCTGAACTTGAGACATTGGAGAAGGATTACTACGACAGGTGCAGGGGCGGACTGAGATCCGCTTTCCCTGATTTTCCCTTTGCCCTTATGCCTCTGAGCATCCCTCTCTTTTGCTGCAGGGAAGAGGAGACCAAGGCCATGGCTTTTCATGAGCTATGGTCGCTGTTTGTGCCACGTGAGCACCATTTCAGCTGACACGTATGTGGAGATTTCCCGGAGGAATCTTTGAACAGTATGGTGAAAGCTTTCGAAGCCAAAGGAATTACTGAAGTACAAGTGCTTGTCAAGCCAGGTACTCAGGGTTCATATGTGAAATGCAGCTTGGTATGATGGCCAAATGCAAAGGTGTGCGTGCTTGTTGTTAAGGTGCAGTGCGACTCTGCAAGCTGGCGCGAATGGCAGCTTCCGCAAGCGACAAAAGCGCCTTGGATGAAAAGCTCTGTGCATAGTTGAGAGGTCTTGTGCAGTTCTGACAGGTTTTCGAAGGCGAAGGCGAAAGCCAAGAGCCGGCCTGCAACAGAGAGAAAAGTTTCTATGGCCGAAGAGTCCCAAGAGAAGGCGCCACGCTCAAATCTGATCTCATGAGTTGTCAAGTTGACCTTCGCGTGGCAAACACCAAGTCCAAGGAGCCTGAAGACGGCGAGTGGAAGCCAAAACGCTCGCTGAAGCCTTTTTTTGCAGATGATGTTAAGGAGCAATGGTAGCAGCAGCAGTGGAGCGCTGCAACTGGTGGTTTCTGTCAGCTGTGGCTAGCTTCTCCGTAGCGAGTTAAGGATGGGGTGTGTGAAAGAAGTGTAATCTGAGAGCTGATAGAAGCTGATGAATCAATCCTGTGGGGTTGCGGCTGGCCTTTGAGCAAAGGCAGGTAGGTGTCCTTGGCAGATGTGCAGAATTGGCGTCCATGTTTTTCCGCAAAGGAGGTGCGAGCTAGTTGAATTTCAATGCTGGTTCCTCCTGATTCGGTCCTCCGCCCGGTTCTGTGATTCGCCTTGGTCCGTTTGGTCACCTTTGCCCTCTGGTCCACTTGGTTCCGTGGTTCTTTGGGTGTCGCGACTGCCTGGCCGAGAATATTAGATGGATTCAACACAAAAGATGTAGCCATCTGTGAATCTTAACGTTCCCGCATCCTGGACCAAACTCCAGATTATCAGCACAGAATCAAAGAGCTGACATTTCAAAATCTTTGCACTTCCGTGTTGCGCGTGCTTTTCGCAGCAGGAGGAGGTCGAGGAGGAGCCGGAAGAGGAGGAGACGAATGTCACAGTGGTTGTAATGCTTACAAATCATTCCGACACTCCAAGCCCTCTGTCCCAGGAGGTGCCGGAAGCTGTCGTAAACGAGGAGGCTCTTGAATTCGTTGGGAAGGCTGAAGTCGAGTTGCATTGGAGTAGAGAACGTCAGGACCTGAAAGACCAAGACGTATGGGATCTGAACCGTGCGAGGGAGCTGTGGCACCTGGACCACTGTTAGCAGCGTCAGGAATTGATTGATCCCTGTTGGGCACCTCTCTTCCTGGAGTGACGCGAGCCGAGGAGCCGGATGAATGAGAAGGCTGTCAAGGTGGCCGGAGGCAAAGGTTCAGCTATTGAAATTCTGCAGGCCCAAGGGCGAAGTGCAAGTTGTCATTGCTTGAACTCTCGCATTCTATGCTGGGAAGGCAATGGTGGTGGTCCAGGAAGGCAGCGCGGAGCTGCAGCGAGTCTCGGACGATGCTATTTGAGGCCGCATAGGCCATTTTGAGTGTCCTGCACCTGAGGACGAGCCGAGCTCGCCAAGAAGGCTTGGGACGAAAAACATACGAAGCCCACTTGAATCCCCTTGAGTTCTTTATGCCCTGGAGCAGGCTACTGCCACCATGAATGCAGCCATTGAGTTCCTCACGCGGAACTTCAATGCCGGCATTGTAATTGACTTTGAGAATCCCAATCCTGATGAATCTTGGCCATACTTGAGTTGGCCTGCCAAAGTGTGATTTGTTTGGTATGGCGCAGCTTTCGTTGCTCTGTGCTGAAATCATGCAGCCAATTTAGCTTGGGTTTGGTAAGTTTACAGCCAAGGATGAAGCAATGGCACCTCAGATGCAGAGACAAAAAAATTCAACATTGAAAGCATGAACGGTAGCAAAACCTCTGAGGTGGAGTATGTGAAGAGGCTGCGAAACAAATTTTTGGCGGAAATAGATTTGGATGAGACAGACGAAATGCCAGATGCGGAGGCTGTCCGGCATTGCTGCAGAGTTTGCTCATGCATGGGCTTGCTTCACGAATGTACCTCATCATCACCAGTATCACCTGAGCTGGGGTTGGGCAACGTGCGCCCCAACGGATTTGGTTGCATTGGCAAACTGGAACAGAGAGGCATGTGTGATGCGAGCGTGTTCTTAGGAGCTGGAGGAGGAATGCCAAGAGCTAGAGCGAATTCTTGGGGAGCAGGATAGAGACATTGAAACTTCGCAGCACAAAGATATGCGCTAACGGTTCAGTCGTTCAGGTTCCTGATGTTGCTGTAGCCTCCAAGGAAGCATTCCAGAGGCAGCGCGAAGAGAAGGAGAAATCGCAGGAGGAGTTCAGGGCTGTTGGCTCTCCTTTGTTGCAGCACATAAAGCCTGTCTTTGCGCAGCCTAGCCCATCCAGGAACAGACCAGCTTAACTACCGGCAGGAGGAACAGGATGCCAAACTCGAGAAGCTGCTGGACGACCGTCAGGATCCAGCACCAGCAGAGGAGCCGTCGCGCAGCTTGACTGAAGTCCAGTTCCGTAATGGCATCACTAAACCCCCTTGAGTGTACACGCCGAGCCTAGGGCCTTCCAAGCAAAGTAAGTCTGCTGTTCTGGATGCCCGCCTGGAGGACGAAGTGCGTTGCTAGCCCATCACCGCTGGAGTCTAGAGTTGAGCACGTGTGGCATTGCAGGGCATCCAAATCCAGGGAGCTCAACCAAAAGCCAGCGCTGCACAGAAGATGAAGCAAGCAGCGAGGCCTGGCTGATGCAGGGAGCCCTCCATGTGAGTACTCATGTAAAGAACGTATTTCACATCCTGGTGCAGCCTGGGGCAGAGCAGAGTTGCGCTTAGACTCAGAGAGATCTTTCCTGACAGGACAGCAGCTGCCATCTCATCGCTCAACCGCGATGGTCCAGCAGGCGCTGCACGGACCTTCCACTCCGTGGAGGACTTCAAGGATGACCCGAAGGCAGCTTCATTACTACTATCATTGCTGTTTTTACTATCATTCTTAGTTTCACCATTGTTCTTACTAGTAGTAGTTGTGTTGAAGGAACTTTGTCTCTCAGGTCAAAATGCTTCGCGAGCACATTGCGACAAAGGACGTCCAGCTTTCGTGAGTTGTCTGACCCTGTACGTCATGTTGCCAGGATGGCCAGATTGACCAAGCCCGGAAGCTACTGAAGCGAATGCGATTTGAGCGGCGGCTGCTTCGGTACTGTCGGAAGAAGGCTTGTGCGATATATAGGCCTTTGGCAGTTCTTGCCACCAAGCAACACAGCAAGGCGAAGGCTGGATTTGACGACATAGTGCAGGAGATCCTTGGCCGCAAGGCAAATAATCAGGTTTGGAAGTAAACTGGAGTTGAGCCCTGTCTATACAATGCTGCTGAGATGTGCTGAGGTTTGAGCCGCCCGTGTTTGAGGATGTACCGTCCGCAGACGATGTGTCCGAAGAATCAGCCAGTGAGGACCTGCCCACCAAATTCAATTGCACCAGGAGATAGGTATAGGTTGTAGGAGCTTGCAGGAGGAGCCACCTCCGTCACCGCCTGCAGAGGGCGGGAAAGACCCAGAGGTGCCGCCGGAGTTGGAGAAGCCGAAGGAGTCAGAGAAGCCCAAGGAGTCCAAGGAGTCCAAGGAGTCCCAGGAGCTGATGCAGTCAGAGCCGAGCCCTTGGATTTAGCCGGAAGCTTGCTCAGAAGACCTCGCTTCTCACCAAGGGTGCCTGGGCAGCAAGAAAAGGCAGCCGCAGCGCACGCAGAGATGCCTGGCATATTCTGGCATAAGCCCTGATTCCGATTATGTGAATGTGGATTTGCAGACTGAAGCATGCCTCTTGTGCTGAGGAACCACAAAGACGAAGATGCTCCAGCTAGCCAAAGCCTGGTGATCCCAGAGCGGAAGGGACCAAGCCTGGTCAGCAAGATCATGCAGTTGAGCAGCAAGAGCAACGAGGTCGGAATGTCCGTCATGATATTAAACGGAATTGAATGCAAACAAGACTTCGCTCGGTAACCCTTCAGGGCCTAGAGATCGAGGCACAGCTGAAGAAAGAGGCGCCTAGACCTTGATGTGGCTTTGTGTCAAGAGCCATGAACATGCTCGCATTGAAGGTCGAAGCCTTGCTGCCTGGATTGCATTTCTTTCGTTTGCGCTTTCAGCCTTGTGTCAATTGACGTTGCGCCACCAAAGGCAAGCAACGCTAACTGACAGCTCCACCAGCTTGCGTGAGGAACACCTGCCACACTCGTGGTATTTCTCGCGACGCTTCGCTTGCCCTCTGTGCATACAGCTGCGGCGTGTCATGCTAGGAGAAGTCGCGTCAAAAAACGCTGCGCAAGGCAAGGTGCTGGGCCACAGTACTGCGTAGCGTGGGAAAGGTTCTCTTGCGAAATGTTTGGGCTGCCAAAGCGCCAGAGCTGTCTGACCAGTACGGGGGGTTCTGGACATGTTCTGAAGCAGCCGCCTAGTTACCACCATTGAAGGAGATCAAAGACCTCCGCAAGGAGTTCCATCAGCTTTCTTCTAGTGCATCCCGACAGCACGAGTGTTTGTTCAGTTGGTGCACGCGTTGCCCTGGCTTGGCCTGGGGCGCCCTGCCAAGGACCAAGATGCCCCCAAGACATTGGAAGGTCAGGGACTCTATTGTGCTGGCATTGCACCTGCACCTAGAGACCTAGAGCAAGCCAGCAGGCATCCGAGCAAAAAACGCATGTTTTCTGGTGTATCAGTGTTTTGGGGCTGCTGTCGGGTGGTTATCTTTTCTTTCACTTTCTGTCCTCTGATCTGAGGATTGCAGGAGCAGATCAAGTTTGAGGAGAAGGTATATCGTGACCTTCAAAATCAGTTCTCACCTCAATCCATGCTAGCTAGACCCGAATCTTGTGAGAGCGTCCTGGGCATGCCACAATGATGCAGGATTGATGAACTCAAGGCACAGGTTGGGCTGATATCTCAGAACGGTCTCAGAATAGATTTTTGATTAAGCCTGTCATCTCCACTCAGTCTATCCCTCTGATGTTCAACACTTCAGGCAGAAGTCAATCAACAAAGCCGAAGGTACACCGCAGAGACCTGTTTGCATTGTTTCCTCTGATCTCCACCCGTTTGCACAGCAACCTTTTCGAATGCTGCCTAAGGCACTCAGGCGAGGGCACGCAAACTGCACAACTGCAGCCAGTCGTGGTGGGACCGGATGATGCCATGTCGCATGAGACCAGCCCGGGTGCAGATCGGTCGCGACCGCCCAGTGCAAGAGACGGAGACCAAACATCAAGACCACCCAGCAGAGCTATGACTCCCCAGATGTCGGGGGTTGCCGTGGAGTCGCCGGAGTCCCCGACAATTGCCGAACCACTGAGATCTTCGAGCATGCAGGCTGAACCTGCAGGGAGCTTCAGCGCAAAGCTGGACCCATTGGGCAGATCGTTCAGCGCCCGTGGCGATCTTCCACCAGCGAGGTCTCCAAGTGCAAGGTCGGATCAGCCCTCACGACCATCCAGCTCCAGAAGTCTCGAGCTCGGTAAGGCTCCCATCACTTAGCTGGTCTGGCTCTGCTTGCTTGCGCAAGGCATCCGAGAAACGCACGGTGACATCGAAGAAGATCCAGGGACATCGGCAGGGATGCCACAGGCTACGGAAGTCCCCGAACTGGGCGCTGCTGACACAAGAGACCTCCCTTCTCAACCCAGGGTGCGGGTTGTAAAACATCCAGAGAGGGGGTTCTGCTCCTTCAAGTGCATATGCTGCTGATGCTGGAGGTGCAAGCGATGCCTTCAACGGCTCAAGAAGATGAGCGTTCTCCGACGAGTCTACAGAGACTGGCTGTACGCAGCCCTTCTGTGGGAAGCGCCTGGGGCCTGGACTCAAGCCTACACGAGATCTGTCAGCGGGTCAAGCTTTGAAGGAGGTGGCCGAGGCTGCAAACAAAGGCGCGGAGAATTATTCTATCGAGAACATGTCTCCCATCCGTTGCGTAGGCACAATGTCGGTCCAAGAGGAGGTCTGCTGGAAATGCTGGTCTTCGTGCTACAGTGAAAGAAGAGATACAAGGATAAAGGAGCACGAGTAGAGACTTGGCCCGTAGGCTACCAATTCTGTCGCAGAGCTCGTGAAGGTCCAAGCACGCACAGAGGCTCACGGCTTCTTCATTTTGCATCTTAAGTCTAATAATCATTCATATGTTGTTATAGTGGGAGGAAATGCGGGATGAAATCCACGACATTGCAACGCCCCTATTTGTGGGAGGTGATGCCGTTTGAGCCGTGTGTACGCTCGTGCGTTAGGTCTGTTGACGGCTCAGGATGCCAAACTGAAAAAGCTTAAGGCATTGCTCAAGAGTAAGGGCAGGAAGCCTAGCCTTCAATTTTGCTGAGCAATTGGTCTTGTTCTCCTAGCCTTTTCTGAGGTGATGTCGACATAGTTGTTGCTGCGCGACGCTTGTGTGTTCTTGTGCCGGGCCTTGTTTTGTATGTGTGTGGAGACTGAGGTGCGTGAGATCTTGGGCCTTGTGCATGAGGAAGAGGTGAAAGCGCCGCCTGCGTTGCTCGTCAGTCTTTCAATCGCTCGATTAGCGTGGATAGACCGGACCGTGTGTGCTTATGTTTGGCACACCCTCACAAGGTATCACCAGTTCCGACGTGAGCTGAAGGATCAGCAGGACAAGATTCGAATACTACGCAAGAAATGGTGGCTTACTGAAATCGTTCTGTGCCATGGGATCGCCCAACAAGCGACACCTTGCAGGTGGGACGACCACCGGGACTTCGATGGCTTGGTAGACAAGGTTCTCCCGGAGCCCTTGAGATGCAGCCGGCAATTATGCCAAGTTGCAGGTGCGCAACCAGATGGGTGGAAATCGCAGCATCTTCGCCGGACCAGACAGACCCTAGTCTGAATGAAGCTGCCTGCTGAGAAAGATGCAAGCTTTGCTCCCTGTGATATCACAGCAGGTTTGCCGAAAAAAAACCGGCAATCAGGATGCCCATGCCCGACGTGCAACCGATACAACTTTTTCGTGGGAGGATGGCACCGTGCGTTCTCCAACAGCCGTCATTGCGGGCTTCTGGGGTACCATGTTCATCGAAGATAGTAGGCCTCGTGCGGCCTCGTCTTCTCAAAGCACAGCAGGAGATGCAGGAGCACCATGTAACTCAAAAGCTCGCTGCTGAGAAGGTCGGGTGCATTTCCACAGTTTCTTCGCGTGAAGGTGCCTCCCTTGATTAGTACCGCTCTTGAACATTGCAAACTTAGCCAACAGAGCAAAAATGAAATAGCAAACCCTCGGGAGCGATTTCAGGCACTGATGATGCCCAGGCAGTAAGTTTGATGGTGGCCCGTGCAAATGCTGCACACTGGCATCGCTTCCTGGTTCATAGGCTTCGCATGCTGTGTGTTTTTTCAACACAGTGGTATCCCAGAGTGCTGTCTTTATGCCTTGGCTCTGAATGGTGCGTGCCTCGACATAACACTCCCATGAGGTTCTTGCGGGCGAATCTTTTTGCTGCGGTGTTTTCGCTCTAGGACCGCTGTTTCATTCGCTCGCCATAGTCCATAGTCTTGGTGTATCACCAAGCCGATGCAAAGAGTCCTTGCGTTTCCAAGAGTTTCCATGCGATGCAAGAGCACGAGGTGATCCTCAAAACTTTCTGGGCGTGTTGACGACAGGGTGTTGGCCGAGACAGCTGCAAGAGTTGAGGACGGGGCAGGGGAAAGTCAGTCCTAGACGGGGGCCAGAGTCAGGAACAGACAGGGGAGAGTCAGTCGTTTAGAGTTTAAGGGATTACGGTTTAGGGTTCATTCTCGACTGGCCTCTTCCTGTTCCTGACTCGCCCCCCACGTTGTTTCTGACTAAGCCTCTTGTTTGTTCCTGACTTATTGTTCCCGACTTGTGCGCCGGACTCGCCTCTCATCCCGTTGACGACAGCTTCAAAGCGTTCTTTGTGTTTGAAGCCCGGCTTTGCTGATCTGTCCTGGCGGGCTTGCCATGGCCAGACCCACGGGAGGGTCTTCGGGGCTGTCCTGTCAGATTCTTGTGAGCTCTCATAAGACGAAACGGTTAGAAACGGACGCCTTCTGATGCTGATGATGCTGGCTCCAGGGCAGAGGACATATTCGACGCGGTTCACGCAAAGCAACCGTGATCTTGGAGCAAGCTACTCGCTCCGCCCCAAACCGCCCCAAATTGCATTTCTTGTAGCATTTTTTTGTTGGCAATCGTGGGTTTGGGCTTTGTGCCAATAATCTCGTTTTGATATGCAACCTTCCCAAGGCAAGGATCTATCCGTGCAAGGACTCTGTGAAGCCTTCTCTGTTGGTGCTGCTGACCAATCCCACGAGAGCACAGTGCTGCCAGGAGCAGAGCATGCGGCCGCTCCTGTTCATGCTCACGACCTGGCAGAGTCTGGCCTTGGTGACATTCATGAGGCAAGCTAGCCTTTAGTGGTTGTGGCAGAGAGCTGATGTCCAGCTCTTGTGCAGGTCAAGACGAACCATGGCTTTCGAGGATCTGTAGCTGCAGCTGCTGTAAGGCCTGCGCAAGATTCCAACAGCCACATTGTTAACCAGATGTATCTTCTTTTTTTCGTGAGGCCACCGTCCAAAGAGCCAAGCCAGCCCGTTCAACCCAAGACAAACGATAACCGCAGGCCCTAACTGTTCTTGCCGCAGTGGAAACTGTTGACCACATTGCACGCCGTTGGTGTATGCATTGTCTCCAAGATTTGTTTTGCCGACCTGAGCCGGGCTCAAATTTTCTTTTAGCTTTGGCTGGAAATTATATCAGGCCCTCAATAATGTGTTGAGAACATCTCCCGAGCGCTGCAATTGAAGGTCTGCAGCTCGGGATGGCTTTTGCATCGTGCCATGCAACCCTATGTCCGATGTGCCTTGTGGACTCAGGCAAACCTTGGCCCAGTGGCAGTGCATGCTGAACTTGCTCGGTTTGGTCGTGCTCTGTGGCGTTTGCGCGCCATGCAGAACTGCCCGCGATGATGATGAAGAGGCTAAGATTATAACGATTGCATGTTGGCAACTTAGCGGACATCCTTCGGCCAAGTCGTCATCAGTTCCTGCAGATGTGGTGCTGCGGTGTCTTGGCAGGCGCACAAAGTGGATGTGAGAACAGCGGAGCAGGTCAGAAAGAGCCCAGATGCCATAGCAACAAGCTTATCCGAGAACATTGACAAGGCGCATTCAGCTTTGCTGCTGAGATTTTGTGCTTTCTTTCCTTCAGTGCAGCATGGAGGTGCAGCAGCGTCAGCGGTTTTCTCTCGAACGGCAGCTTGCTGCGCAGCTTGCTCAGTCTCGCACCGTGCCAGAGCTTGTGCTTGGAGACTCCTGTCGCTGAGGCGCATTGAGGCTGCAGAAGCCCGTGAAGTCCTGCGGAACCGGCGTGTTTCCTTTGCTGCTTGCCAGAGGGTCTGCTGTTTAGGTCCATGCCAAAGAAGTCACCACCTGTAATGATGAAGGACTGCTCAGGTTCCTTTGCAAGGTTTCACGTTGCGACTTAGTAGATTGGCCTGTAGAGGTTGTGTTTAACATCCTCCTTGGTTGATGCATGTGAGATCCGTCGGGTGCAGGGTTCTGCTGATGTGCCCCCTTCAAGTCCTGACATGACAAGTTACGGTGATTCCTGCCATGGCTATCTGTACCTGTTGCCCTCTTCTAAGTCCAGTTACTCATGGCAATGCATTCAGCGCCTGAGCTCCTGGAAATCGTGGCTTGCCCAGGCTATCCACGTGGAGGCGGCGCATCCTGACACAAAGAATGATGAAAAGTCGGCAGGGAACGATACGGCAGCCGAGAAGGAAAACTCCAAAGAGGCATTTGCTAAAGCGCGCGAAGACTCCGAGAAGGTGAAGGAAGACGCCTCTTTCCTGAACCTGTGACTAGATAGGCTCCAGGTCAGTGTGCTTCAACGTGGAGAGCGCTCGGGCAAAGCGCGCTGAGGTCGGCAAAGTGGAAGCGGCCACTCATGATGCGCAAGAGAAGTCAAAGGCAGTGGACAAAGACTTTGCACAATATGTGTCGCGGCTCAGCGTAGGGAATGTGGAAAGTACATTTGCGCATGCTGCGCAGTGGGTTGTGTGAATCAAGGAAATCGAAGTGTGTGTGTCTCGTGAGCAAAGGACGAGAAGATCAAGGAGCTGGACGATACTTTGGGCAGGCACAGAGGATGTTGCCGCTGCCTCGCGCTCTTGAACCACTGTGCACTGCTTCAGCGCAGGCTGTCACAGAAAACTTTCCGCTGGCAGCAGGACCAGTTTTGAACATCTTGCAAGATAGACTTCCTGGGATCCGGGCTGCAATGGCTTATCAGCTGTTGAACCTTAGGAGATCATGCAGTATTTCGCCGATGCCGAAGCTGATAAGTGCTTTGGACATCAACATGCAAGTGCTTCTTGCATTCATGATGACATAGAATTTCTTCGTTCCAGGTATTCGCCGCTCATGGGTGTCAAGTTGGTCACCCTGCGGCAGGGGAAAGAAGCTGTGCAACTGAAGCCGAAGAGCTTAAATGAAAAGACGAGTTTCATTATCAATCAAGGACCGGTCCAGGGACGTGAGAGGGCAGAACTCTACGCAGGATGCAGGTTCAACAGACGCGCAAGTTTCAAGTCTGATTGAATCGTTTGCATGCACCTCTATGTGTGTGTCGTGCTTTTGTCGGAGGTGGCCAGCACTCAACGTCTGCGGCCCACTCGCCTAAGACCTAGACCAAACACCTTCGTGTGTCATTGCATGTTCACAGTAGGCATGTAGTCCTGGCACGGGTGAGTAAGTTCTTGGTGAGCTGGTCAGGAAATCAGCCTGAAGCTGCTAGACTCTCAATGTCATCTTGGGGGTGGGCAAGAGAGCTAAAAGAGCCTGGACGTTGAGCACTTTTTGCCATGCACCTTTGGCGTGCTTGATGTATGCTGACCAAAAGATCTCACTCGCAGGCTTAGTGGGCTGAAGGGCTTCGGTGCTTTCAGCGCTATGAATCAAGGCACCGTGATGAGGCGGGCTTTGCTGATGCAACGCCCTGCAGTAGACGTCCTTCAAGTCATTGCGCCAGGGCTGTTGCAGTGACGGACGACAATCCCCGCTCGCGCTACTCGAAAGTCATGCAGGCCACCCAGGTCACACAGGCCAGGGCTCCAAAAGCAAAAGGCGGATGTACCTGGAAGGGGTCCGTGTTGTGCAAGGAGCGCAAGTCGCCGAGATCACTTTTCGGGTAGGGTCACGGAGCTGGCAAAGCCATTTCTCCAAATGCTCTGCGAGCAAGCTTGCTGCGATGCAACCCGCATCTTCACAGTTCTTTGATTAGATAGAATTCGGCTGCTTGTGGCAGCAGTGGGGGTGGCGCTGCTGAAAAGCGGCAGCAACTGTCGACGCGCAAGTGACCAGCGAGGTCGAAAGCAGGCCACGCAGGGAGAGTTGTGCAAGTGTTGCAGAGCTCTAGGCGTTGCAGTCGATCTGGCGGCGGGCAAGTTTCAACACAAGAAGGCTCAAGAACCCTTGGTAGTATGCAAGCGACAGACATATGTCTTGCAGGCATTGCGTTTGGTTTGGAGACGTTTCATGGCACCGAAGAAAACTCGCAGGCCAACCTAGCCCGGAAGCCGGGGGGGGGCATGCAACTCACAGCCTCCCTCCCAGCCCCCTTGTGGTCCGTGTGGTGCTGGCGGTTCTCCCCTCCCCTGTAGCAGTGCCAGCTTACGATAGAGCCGAAGTAGAGCTATAACCCCAGGTATAAACTGCAGAAGCCTTAAACTTATAAGTAGTAAGTTCTTGGTCTAACGCAGCAAGTGCTCACATGTGGGCAGAGTAGGAGCTTGTAGTCCCCCGGGCAGCCCCATGTGACTTTTGGCACTTTTGAAACGCAACGTAAATATGCCTGTGACTGTTGGCACACTGGAAATGCGACAGCGGCAAGAAGGTCAAAGAGTGATGACAGTTACAAGGATCGTGACCCAGGCCGCTCCCTGTGACCATCGGCACTTTTCAGATGCAAAGACCACACGAAGGTGCAAAAGTGTGACAGTTACAAGGATCGCGACGCCCGGGCGCCCCATCCTGGTGACTGTTGGCACTTTTGGGAGGTCTAGGCTGGGGGAGGGGGACCATACCATGGGGGACCAGGGTCATTTCTATATATACATATGTATATATATATATAGATAGCAGGGAGTCTCTTCTTTACGGAGCAGAAATGTGCCACGGTAGGGTTCCTGCTGCACCTATTCGCAGGTGCAAGGGCAGTGCTCTTAGCCATTGTTTTCCCAAAGCAAAAATCGCTTGCGAAGCGTACCGGCAAGTCGAGAGTAGATTTCAATACAGCCTCGAAGGTATGCGGGGTCTCACAGGTCAGTCTGCCTGAATATTGAATGCCCGACTTGCTTGGCACTACTGCGCAGGCTCAAGTTCAATTGTCAGGCCATATCCCTGCGCTTTGCTAGTCCTCCGTGCTGAAGGATTGCAGCAGGCGCCGCCAGACATAAAGAGCGTGAAAGAGAAGGGATCTTAAAGACGAAGCTTCTTTTCGTAGCACGGTTCTTCACTTAGGCTGACCATTTGCGCTCTGCTATGGTCATCGCTTTGCGTCCTCAACGGGAGCAGGAGCAGGAACATGCCTTGTGGTGGCAGCCGCACCCTACTAGATCTTGAAACCATGAAAAAGGGAGAGGCAGAAGAAGAAGAAGGGGAAGGGGAAGATGAAGAAAAAGAAGAGGAGGAGGAAGAAGAAGAAGAAACAGACGCGGAACGAGCGAGGCAACTTTGAAATTTTTGAAGCTGAAGGACACGAAGATTCAGAGTTACAGAGCCTGCGATGTAAGCTTGCCTTGGAAGCTGCCAGGTGTTGGGCGGAACCCTCCATGAGCTATGCGGCCGTGCGTGCTTTTTTCGCTGATGGCATGGTGCCAACCTTAAACATGTCGCATAGAGAGAATCCGTCTTCACCAGAACCATGCCAGGGGATTGAGTCAGGTTGCTAGCTATCATGCTGCCAAGGATCTGTGTGCATGGCGTGCGCGATGTTGTAGATGAGGAGGCTTCATGGCATAGTGTGCTTCTTGGCTCAGCCTTTGCTTGAGAGCGCAATGAGTCGACCCGTGCAGAATTTCATCGCAGGCAGCAGAGCCTGTGCAGCAATTATGAAAGCTGTATAGAGAATCTGAGGGAGTAAAGGCTTTGCCACCGACTGACGGGCAGACAAGCTTCCTCATGAAATGTCTGTGGTCTGGCTGGGCTCGGGTCTTTGATATGGAGCTACGGCTAGCATCAAGCGGACGTTGCATTTGTGACAACATGTCCTTTCATCTTTGCTCGCCCCGGCCCGCCCCTTGCCAACAGCTTCAAAATCCTTTTCTTGCCAGGCGATGAGGCATAGACCTTCCAGGCACGAGGCCAGCTGAAGAATCTCCTTGTGCTTTCAAGGCTGTCTTGGGTTCCGCGTCATCTTGACTTGTGAGCTCGTCAGGATCAGCATCGGCAGCTGCAGGTGGAGCCTGGGGATTCCGATGGAATTGACGAGGCCATGTCTCTGACCGGTGGTCGTGCACTCGGCGTTAGACATGGACCTGCCGGCTGTTCCCAGGATGAGGAGGATGACGCGGAAGAACCCGATAGCACTCTAGATGCATGTGTCTCTGCTACTTGAGTTTTGAGAGGTCATGTTTATCAAGCCAAGGAGAAAAGGATGCCTTTGCAGGGACTGCAGAGGACGGAGTTCAGATTGAGGGAGCAGTGGCGGAGTTCAGCAGCGCAAGGCTCTGAGCGTTCTTTGACACTTACTGTAGCTGCGTCCTTCGCCAAGCACGCCAAGGCCACCAAGGATGCGGAGAACAAAGCCAAGCAGGTGGACAAAAACTTTGCCGACTACAATGGAAGGCGTTGCAAGCAGAACAAGCTCTAATCGACTATTTTCGGTTAAGTGAAGTTAAGTGCAAAGAGCATAGGCCACTCTGCTGGCCCCGGCAGGCTAGGAGATCTTCAAGATCAGTTGCGCAAGCTATCGGCTATGGCCAGAAGCTGCTTGACTTCGAGTTGGCCGAGTTGCCGTGAGGGTGACAATAGACATTTTGCTTGGGCTTGTGAGTGGGTAGTTTACAGCAGGTGGTCCCCCATAGGGCTTCTTTCCCACTCCTATAATTTACAGGTGTCTTACGGGAGTACTATGGAAACTACATCTGTAAACTACCTGCCTGTAGATGGCTTCAAACAAGCAGGCTACCACATGCAGACAATCAAGTGGTTCAAGAACGCCGAGCAAGACAAGCCACATGTTTGCAGTTTGCAATTCAGAGGAGCTCAACAGTCTGCAGCCACACGCTTTTGAGGTACTCACCCATTGCCAACATGCCGCTGGATACATTCAAGATCTCCAAGAGCAAGGATGATTTTCCTCTAGAGTCGGTGTCGTAGCAGAGACTTGCAAGAGCCGGCGTGTTCTTTGGAAGAAGCAAGCCATCGTCTTTATCATGAACTGTAGCTGTGTGCACTTTCTGTTTAAAAAATACCCCTACCACTTGTTCTCAGTGCTGGCTCACCGGGACACGTTTGCCACAAGCCAGGCATGTACCATAGGTAGCATCATGACAGTATGCTGTGCAAGACGCATGGAGCCTTAGCTTACTTGAAACTGCCACTTTCTCCTGGAACTCTAGAATTCGCGTCTGTCTGCTGGTGCCGCCATGGGCCAATGGACCTTGAGGGCCATGCAGGGGCGCGCCCGAACAGAACTTGGCGCATGAAAACCTTTCTCCCATTGACACACTTTGGTCTTTGGCTCGACCTCCTGGAAATTGCCGTGCTCCCACGCCATGAGCAGAAGGCAAGGATCTTCGCTGTTCCAGGTAAAGCAGTTTGTACATTTGTTTTGCAGGCGTTCCTGCTGCGTGGAATCAGGCAGTCGCTGCCTGAGGCTTGCTCAGCAAGCATTGCATGTTGCATAAGTGAATCGCAGCATAAATGGTACTTAGGTTGAACAGGTCCTGCTGGGATGGCATCAGGCCACGAAGCACGCGCGCGGTTTGTCGGGTCGTTGGGAGGAGCGGGCGCTGTAAAACATGCATGATCGCAGATGTGGCAGGACACCGTGCGACGACAACAGGTCTCTCAGTCTTTTCTTCGTTGATCCAGTGGTCTCGAGCTTTGCTCGGCTGGTTGATGCATTCCCACGCCTGACGAGCGTCGAATGGGTGGCTTGGTGAGGACAGCTGATCTTAAGTCTTCTGTCACTAACAGCATGACATGGATTCTGCTGTTGGTGTCATTGGATCTTTAACCGTGTTAGCTATCGTAATTCTTGGGCCTTGGGCTGGGGTCGACTGCGTGAAGCTTTGTCAGGATGCTGCTGCGTTGTCCCAGTTGGACAGCAATGTTTTCCTGTCTTCGCAGCGGCATCTTTCGCCTCGGTCGTCCTACACAGTTCCATGACTCTTAGGGTACGTGCAGGAGCAGCAAAATCATTGAACGTGTAAGCAAGTCTTGCAGGGGGAGGTGCTCACTCGGTGCACGCACAGCAAACTGAAGCCAACAACGAGGAGCAACTGCATATGTTCCCTCCCAGCTTTGCAAGTCTCAGTTGACTTAGAAGCACATCCTGAAAACTCATATGCAGCAGCAGTTCTTTCATACTCTTTCTGTGTCAGCCTAGTTATATCAGCAAAGTTGTGCCGCAATTTCCGACAACATCCAGGTTTGAGTTTGCATGTTGCAGTCACAGCACTGCACGTGCCCATTTGTGTGTTCATGTGTGCCTCATTAGTTTAGACACAGAAGCGCCGAACATGTAGGAATGCTCCAAAAAATGAGGTACCTCTGAACAGCACCTAGCTTCTTTGGGTTGGTGCGCAGTTCCAACCTGCCTCATGGCTGTGATCATGCAGAGTTTAGGTTTTGCATTGGTATCCCAAGCAGCTGCCCTGGCCTCCTCGCGAAGTTGTCGCTGCAGAACGCCGTTTGGCAGTATCTTGCCGGAAAGCTGTGAGGAGTGCTTGCAAGCTGCTGACATTCTGTTTCGGAAGTAAGGTGCCGCGATATTTGCCCCGCCACGAGCGAGTTTGTGCTGCGGGATGGGGTCGCTGCGAGACTGAGCCCAATTGGCATGTGTCGTCATGTGAAATCTAATCCAGTGGCAGCCGGCGCGTGTTCGACATAAGGACATATATTCGCGAGGAACTGGCAACTGTCGAATAGCAGGGCCCGCTGCACGCACAGCAAAGGTTTCGAAGGAAGCCTTGCTTCTCATGCATGACAACTGTCATGGTGAAGATTGGGACACGAGGCTGCAAGTGACTAAAGAACTGCAGACGATGTTTTCCTATGGTTGTTCCATTTTTTGTGAAGGCGGAAGGCTCGCTTGATGCACTGCCCATTGAATGCGCCTTTGGCCGTTCGACCTGTGTCGAAAGCTGGGTCCCTGGCTGTGGCTCGCTGGGTTTCGCAGATTGATTCCGCCAGAGCTCGCGACTTCGCATTGATGGCTTCAACGTGGACGCCATTCAACAAAAGCAGGGTGCGATATTTGGACTGGGCTTCTCGCTGGGTTGTGGCCCCCCAGGCGGAACGCTGGGAGACAGAACAAATTGCCCTAAGATCGCGTTTCGGAGATGAGTCAACGGGCGTCATCCTGGCTGCCTCTGCCTCGAACTGCTTGCGGCTTGTCAGCATTGTATGTCAGAAGTAGTTGCTACCTGGCTTTCAAACGACGCGAGTTGTTTTCTAGGACGTGCTGCCAGCATGGTGCGGGCCGACTCAAAGTCATCTTTGTGCGAAATCCCTACAAGCGCTTGGTGTCTGCCTATCGCGCTCTGTTTCTGGAGACCTGGCTGACTTACTCGTGTTCTCATTCTTGATATTCCAAGGGCGGCCAATGCCAAGGGCTGAGGCAGCCTAGGGGGTTGGGGTTCGCAAGCTGAGAGACTTGCCCCTTGTCAGAAGGAGCATTGTCAGGAATCCAGCCGAAGAGGCATCATTACTTGCTGAACGTGGCACAGAGTGTCTGCAACTGCCCTACACGCCGGGATGTGGCGTGCCCGCCCCCCCTTCCACGAGCCACTCACCCCACCGTCCCAGCATAATCTTGCCTGGAAGGATCGACTTGTAGATCTAGGGTTGGGCGGAGTCGAAGGGTAAACGATTGGAAACAAGAGGTACGGTCTTTGGACTCAGGATTGAGGATACGCAGTTAAGGGTTGTAGCAAGGCCAAAGTTCTGAACAATTATTTGGTCAGTGTTCATGTTCAGATTGGCACTGGAAGTATCTCGGCTCGGGTGTTCGGGATGTTGAGGCTTGAGGACAGGCTTCAGGATTCAGCGTGTAGGGCATGGAAATTTGGGCTTCAGGATGTACATGAGGTCTAGATGTTATGGAGTTTCAGTTTGCAGAATTTAGTCAGAATTTGAGGGTTAGGTGTGTCGAGTTATGTAGGCTTTCGAGTTGACTAAGTTTACACGGGCAGGGTCTTAAGGATTTTAGGGTCTTGAGTCTGAGCTCTGGCTTTGGTTGATGGGGAGTGAGGGAGCTGGGGTTGGGGGGGGGGGCGGGGCGGCTACTGGAGTCCAGCATTAGGAGAGCTTACAGAAAGTGAATGCTAGCCAGGATCGTGCACGACTGGTTGGAGACAGGGTGATCGATGGCTTCCGGGCATTCAACACCACCATTGAGCCATTTGGCACAAACTGTATGACAGAGTTGTTCAAGGCGCCAACTGAGATTGCACATGGTCGTTGCAGGATTGATTTCTTGTACTTCTTGGCCTTCATGGCGTCTGCAGACTTCCCTCAAGCACTGGTTGGTTATGTTACAGACAGGCACGATGCCATTAGACGAACAAAGCCTGAACATGCATTTTGCGGGACCTTTCCAGTACCGACAGGCTTGGGATCAAGTTCCTGATGGAAGGCGCATAGATGCGAGTGCTTTAATCGGTGGTATCAACAGAGTGCCTTTGGATCACCTAACGTGTGGATGAGTGCAGGAGATACCTGGGAGAGCGTCAAAATGAGCCGTGCAATGCTTTACAGCCTGGGCATCCATGCCGGCACGTTGCACGAGGAGCTCAATGGATCCTCGGCTTGTTGCGACCTTGCCGAGTTCCCATGTGTGAGCTGGAGGATGCAGAATAGGAATGGCATTACCAAGCGGCCTTTTGGCAATGAATCTCAGGCCCGTGCTTGCACGGGCGCAAATGACCACCCAGCAAAATCACACAGCTCTTTGATCGCCAGTGGTTGACATTACAATCCCTGCGTGAGCATCACATATGATGACCGACGTCGAAGCTTACAGCAAAATCAGCGCTGTTGGGCATTGCCAGCGCCTTAGCAACCACCATGCCATTTCAATGGCAGAACAGCATCCTGAAATGACTGAGTCAGACATTTTCCTCACCTGCGCGTTTGCTGCAAGATCCCGCCCGAGTCGCCCGAAAGCAGACTCGAGACACCTGAATGTCTGTGCTACTGCAGCGTGTCTGCCCAACAGAATCCAAGCCCCATGAGCTTGCTCTGCAAGTGGATTTTTGATGAAGCTGACATTCAATTTGTGCTTCTCCTGGGAGTGAATGTTAAAGAAGATAAATCACTGAATAGCAAGAGCCACCTGCGTGCACAAACCTTCCCTGTGCCCTGGTTGGCTGTTTCAGGAACTGTTGACTTGAAGGACTTCCACATCGCAAGGCTCTTAGCTTCAGCGTCTCGATAAGCCGGCAAGTCAGGCGGTTCTTGCCAAGGTCCACTTGGAGAGGGCAAAGGAGGACATGATGGAACTGCAGCGCAGGCTGTGCCGATGGTATGCCTTCTGCAGGCGCTGCAAAAGACTCTGCAAAGGTTGTGGTGCAAGATGGTGCTTGATAGCCAAGACGTAGCCTCCAGTACACGCAACAGCTTCCTGTGCCTTCAGGATCCTGCCGCCTTTCCAGACATGGAACTCCAGATGGGATCGGTTGCTGGCTGGATTGACCTCAACTGGCAGGCCACGGGCCGGGATGAGCACAATAGAAGCAGGCATCACATTTTCATGGGGAGTAGTTGTTCTTGTTTTGCATAGGAATCAAGTGATGCTTACGTTTCTCCCTTAAGTTTTTGTATGAGGAAGGCGCGCGAGCGGCGGCGCCATGCACTTTCCCGCGAGATGATGCTCTGGGCGCTGCATCGGCACCGGGAGCAGCTGTCACTCTGCTCTTTAACCAGACCCAGCAGAAAATCACATTTCCTTCTGAACGCTAATGCAGAATATGCTAACGGCATGGGCCTCCTCCTTCAGCCTGAGGCGCTTCTTCTAGGGGTTAAGGCTGCTTATCAAGGTATATGCCACTCAGTTTCTTTGGACCCGGTGTTGGGGGTTTTGAGGGCTTGGATAAGTTCTCCTTGGCAGCGTCTCCAACGGTTAGCAAAGAATGTAGAGGCCTGATGAGGCTGATGACATGGTTCCTATTCAGCTGGGGAACGACATACAGCTGAAAGGCGGTAAATTGCAGGACGCAGGGACCTGTAGTGGCGGAAAGCCAACTTGGAGTAGGAGCTGTTGAGATGATAAGTCCAGGGTGCTCGGCAGTTTCAAGAGCAGTGCGTGACGAACTGTGGAGGATGCCCAGTTAGCATTTGCCTAAGCTTGAATTGAAGCTTGCACGAGATTTTGTTTGTGGGTCCCGTGCTTGTGATTTGCAGTGTGAGTGGCAGCCCTCAAGGCTGAGGCGCTATCAGCCTGACTTTGACTTGTTGGGCTATTCTGAGGATCCGGAACAGATGGAAAGTCCGCCCATTAACGCAAAACAAAGCTTCTTCACCCTAGCGTCTCTGCCTTTGGCGGGAGGGCCCAACAAGCACTGCCACAGCATTTGGGGGCATGTTCGCAGCCGCTGGCTCCTTCAGCTGGCATTTGCCCAGCTCCCTGATAGCCGTCTTGCGCATTCCTAAGCTGGTGCGGAGACAGCTGATTCCTTGGTATTCTGGTCATTTGGCCTAGGCGTCATGCTAGCGCCATCTGCCACGCGACCTGCAACGCATGCTTTAAAACACTGCGCTGCGACTGCTGGAAGCTTGGGCTTTCTCAATGTTCCAGGGCTGCGTTGCTTTTTCTGTCATCTTCCTTCATGTTTGGAAGGCGCCAGTGCTCTACAGCCCCGTCGGTGCCAAAGGCAGCAGTTGCAGACAAGTCCTGACCAGGGACGCAGATAGCGAATCTGATGCTTCTGATGCCTTCAATGCCTTGTGCCAGGTCATTCGCATCGTTCTGGTGGAGTTGGCTGTCTCGTAGTACTGGGCGTGGCTCTGTCCAATGCGAGGAAGCAGCCGCGAGCTCCGCAAAGTTTGCCGCAGCCGCAGCACAGTTCCCAAAAGCGAACGGCATCGCACGGCCAAGGCAGAGGCGAGGCCTTCAGAGCCGATGTGCCTCATCTCTTGTTTTGAGGGCTCGAGGCGGCGAGGAGGCTCTGGGAGCATGGGATCCGTGCAGAGGAATTGTTGAAAGATTCCAGGCAGAAAGCAGGGCTGACTTGGCTGCAGGGTCAGGCGCTCAGCGTCTTGAGAGGAGGGTTTTTTATCGTGCAAGCTGTTGTTGCAGTCTCAAGCCTTCTGGGATCGTCTTGGCCTGTGACGAGGTTTAACTCCGCAGTTGGAGGGCGGCTGCGCGTGAGACAAATCTTAGAGGCTCTGGTACTGAACTGAGTTAGCTAAGAGCTTGTTTGGGCCGTCAGACGTAAATGTCTGGGTAGGCACCAGACGGTGGGCGCTCACTGATCGGGCAAAAGGCGAGGAGAGTCAAAGCTAGACAAGACTGAAGAGAGACTGACGGTTTTGGTGTTTTTCACACGCTCTATGCGCACGCTTCCAACTTCTGTAGGTTGTGATTTGTGGCTGGGCCGGGCTCCCAGCAGGTGTGTGGTGAAGAAGAAACCTGGGCAACGATAAATGTCAGGTACGCACCGTCCGTGCGCAGAAGAAGTTGGCATTCCTCAAGGCTCTCAGAGCCAAGATTGCCTGCCATTCTTCAGCTATTGCTCACGCAGGTGAATGATGGATCCACCGTTCAGGACCTGGAGTGACTGGACAAGAAGTGGCTTTGCATTCGAAATCTGATCACAGGAGCTGCAGATTGTGGTACGGCTCCAAGACCAGATCATTTGCTGGTAAAGACTGTGGCCATGAGTATTCTGGCATGGAGCTGGGCATATGGGTCAAGCATGATACAGCAGTAGTCTCGCATCGATGTTCGTCCTTCAGCTCTGCTGAGCACATATCATGTTAGGTTCAATGCAGAGCAGAGTGGTTATGGTGGTTACGCAGCAGCATTCTAGATTCTTAGATACACCTCTTGTGCTTGAGCCTCCATGGTGTGGGCTGCAAGATGCGTGCCTTGGTGACATCAGTGAACAGGCACCGCTTGCTGAGTGCTCTCTTTCGCAGCATGTGCGGTTCGAGGCCCAATGGATGCATCGCTGCCAGCCTGCGGCCTTTGGAAGGAGATGGGTTTGCTCTCGACGTCACAGAATTTCCAAGCGGGCTGCAGGAGGGTGCCCGATAGCTTGGGCCGCGGCAGATGGTGTCCCGCCACGCGGCAGGGCATACAGAAACAGGCCCGCAGCCGCCCGGCCGCCCGGTCCAGACAAGAGTCTTGACTGGAAGTTGCAGGTGTGGGTCTCTGTCCAGAGGACGCTGAGCAGCGCAGCACCACAGCCGTCAGCGCCATCAGGTCTTCTTGGGCCAGCTTAAACACGCAGCACAGTCCCTCGCATGAGAGGTGCAAGTGAAGCACCCGGCCCACCTCCTGTGCATCCGCTACTGCGTCAGCAAACCATGCTGAAGAGAAGCTTCAAAAAGTTTTGCAAGCTAGCTATTCTGGATTTGGCTCCTGCCTTTTGCTGCTTTCGTTTGCTGCGCTGGCGCGTCGGTTTTCTAAGGTTTTTTATGGAAGTCCTGCGCGGCATGGGCCAGGTTGTTTTCTGCAGCTCGGATTATCACCATGGGGCTGTCTCAAGGGTGGATTTGCATGGGTTGCGTAAGTTGCATCGCGCACAACACCTGCTGCACTACAGGTAACAGCGCTTTATCGGGTTCACTTATCGCGCCTTGGAATGAAACTGCTTTCCTTGAAGTAGCTGCCATGTAAGATACCTCTTGAAGGCTGGTGCGCTGCTGGTGGGAGATGCAGAGCTCCTTGGCATTCAGAGTTTCGTTCTGCTGCCTCTCGCGGTGCCTCTCGCTGTGCTTGAGTTCCTTTGCAGGCTCGGTATCACGGCGCTGGCAGGTGTCACCTCTGCCACACTCACAGCACGTGCCGCTTCGCTGGATACAAAGGCAGGCAGCCCCTTTGGTAATGCAGAGATTGAAATTTGCTGAATGCAGGCCATATCCGACGGACTGATGGGAGACCTTTCTGCACTCCCGGCTGTGCTTCCACTTCATGGTGATAAGACGTTGACGCTGAGGATATAATGGAGCACTAGTTGGATGTGCCCTTTCTGTTTTCCAGCCTGGTGCGGGCCTGTGGGCTACCCTTGCTGGAACGATAGGGTGCCTTGGGATGCATTCCCTTAAAGCGGTTCAAAACAACATTGCGCGGCGCGGTACGTGTAGGTTCGGATTTCCATTGCACACATGCCAAAGTCAAAGCTGGAGTTGGCGAGCTGCATAATGTTTGTACTGCCGTCAACAGAAATCTTCCTTACCAGTTTGGCCCCAGGTGCTCGCCCTATTTGCTCACATCTTTGGCTATGGTGGGGCTTACAACAGCAGGTGCAGCTGCAACAGTGCCACTGGCGGCGCAGCTCTGGCAAAAGAATTTGTGCTACAATTGCAAGATGCAAGCTTCTCCAGCCATACTAGGTGGTCGGGTTATGTCACATCGGCTGGGTTTTTTTACGCATCGAGCAGCGTCCACACTGCGGGACCCAGTTCAAAAGCATGCACTTGAGTAGATGTCGTGCAAAAGCAATTCTCGCAGTTGTGCTGTTTCCACAGCGTCCACTGGGTTTCAGCTCATAATGCGGCATGTTTGTATGGCGTCATTGTATCTGTTGAGCAGCGTCCACACTGGGGGATCCAGTTCAAAAACACTTACTAGAAT